GAGAAATTATTTTATATTTTTTTGGTGATTTTGATATGATTTTGTTATGGTTTTGTTATGGTTTCCTTATGGTTGATTTTATGTTTTTTTTGCCTGTCCTCAAAACAGTTATGATTTCGATATGGTTTTGTTATGGTCCTGGAGTGCTTCATTTTTTTCTTATGAAATTTGTTATGGCTGGTCGTATCTTTTTTGTAAAAAAAATCATTTTGTCATTTTTTTGGACATTTCAGAATGGAAAAAACAATAAATTATTTGTATTTAAAAAATAAGAAAATTTGAATCAAAAGCAAAACATGCTTTAGCTGCTAACACATTAGACTTTTAGATTTTAGACTGAACAAAATCCTTACCTTATCCGTATCATAATTCAAAATCTATTAAGTTTTTCTTTCAGTTTTGCTTGATGTTTCAATTTGCTTGATTTTTTGACGCTCAGCTAAATATAATTGTAAAAAGTAACTAGTAACTAGTAGAACGCAAGGAAGCAAATGATATTGAAATTGATCTTCACTTTTGGTTGGTCCACAAAGCCACAGATTCATTAGATGTTTCAAAGTTTTCTATGAGATGTATTTTCTTCTTTCCTGTTCTATCTGACATTTTTACTTTACATATATTCTTGGGTTCTGGTGTGAAGCTTCTGTTGATCAAGCAGCTAGCAGCTAGCAGCTAGCAGCTTAGCAGCTAGCAACAGGCAGCTAGCTAGCTGCTAGCAGTCACTAGTAGCTAGCAGCTTGATCACGCAACTCGATTCTTTTTTGTTGTCATGTATCCTTTTCTATTCAATTCTATTTTTGCCTGATGTCATATCTGGCATCCGGCATTGCTTGTTTCATCATAAACAAACATTTTGATCTAAATCTATTATCATCTTTTCTAGTCAAATCTATTACACTCATTCTACTCGATCATTCTGATTCTAATCTCTTTTCTGTCGTCAGCGTATCAGCCTATCCTTCCTGTTTATCAGCTCTGCGATACGTTCACAAAATCTCCAGAGAGTACCCTGGTCACACTTGCCATCTCGTGCTAGTCATGCTGGCAACCCAAGACATGTCAAATTTCCTTAGCCTTGCCTTACAGACATATCCTTTGGAAGATCACATGAAACTATTTTCCAAATAGCTTAATAAGCCCATAAGCAATGTAAGGCTTTGTAAACTGTGTATGGATCCATTCGCAAGGTCCAGTCGAATTGCCTCCATAGCCATCATCATAGTCATAGTGAAAGTCAGGTGACATAGACATAGTCACAGTCATAGTTCAAGTTCAGATAGTCAGTTATTCAAGGCAGTTAGTCTGTCATAGCTCTCATAGCTTCTGCGGTCCATGACATCATCAAGACAGTTCGGATAAAGTCAAGTCATCATCGGTAGTAATAGTAGTTATAGTAGTGAGCGCATGGCACACAAACACCGGGACAGAAGTTTTGAAAAAGGGACGTGACGCTATAATATGAATAGGGAAAGGACTGCCTGTAGGTAGGAATGGCTTGTGCACTGGAATAGCGATGAGATGAAGTCTGCAACAGTGCAAAGACACGACAGCATGAAATGAACTGGTCCGTGGAATGTGGAACGAGTGACTACACCCTAAACTCAGTTTGCAGCAACATTGAAAACCTATGAAAACCTCTTCTTCTTGCCAGCCTCACCCACAAAATTGTAAAGCTTATATTCAAACTGAACTCTGTAGGTCTGTAGCATGCTGCAACGTGCCTGGAGATCCAAAAGAATCAGAAAGAAACCAAAGTTTGAAATCAGAGAGTTCCTCAGTGGTTCCACTGTCTGGCGACGGGATGGGAGGTGGGTCCGGCGACGGGCGTGGGAGGTGTGGCTGGGGTCCGACGAGGGGGATGGGAGGTGTGGCCGGGGTCCGGCGACGGGGGTGGGAGATGTGGCCGGACGAAAACAATAACGAAATCATATCAAAAAGACGGAGGCACCCCAAAACCATAAGAAAATCATATCAAGAAAACGGAGGCACTCCAAAACCATAAGAAAATCATATCAAGAAAACGGAGGTACTCCAAAACCAGAAGAAAATCATATCAAAAAAAACGGAGAGACTCCAAAACCATAAGAAAATCATATCAAAATCATATCAAAAAACGGAGAGACTCCAAAACCATAAGAAAATCATATCAAAATCATATCAAAAAAACGGAGAGATTCCAAAACCATAAGAAAATCATAAACTTTGGCATATCAAAATCATATCAAAATCATATCGAAATCATATCGAAATCATAAAAAAACAGATGTTTTGATTTATTTTTTATGATTTTGATATGATTTTGTTATGGTTGATTTTATGATTTTGATATGATTTTGATATGGTTTTGATATGGTTGATTTTTCGTGCTCTGACTTTGTCACAGGAACCTTATGTTTTCAGCCACCCCCACCACAACAATACCAAAGGCCCATCTCCGATCCCGAGTTGCGCTATGGTTTTTTTTCTTGGCTCTTCGTTTCTGCGTGTGTGGGCCCCCCGCCCCCACGCGTGCGACGCAGCACCGGAAACCCACAACAGCGAACAAACACGGAACCTGGCTCCCCCCGCAGCAGTCGCATTCTCAATCCTGGAATATGGACGGCAGTGATCTTAAGTCACAAGCACAGAAAAATCAAATCGTATATCTCTGTATCTGTCATTCGCGTCTGACTCGCATCATCCCCGTTAGGCCATGTAGGCTCTTTCTGGGAAGTCTTGGCACATCGCTCTGAGAAGCCTGAGAGGGGGAAAAAGCTGCGGGGCAGTTGACTCGGATGTCTTTCATTTTAATATTGGGCCTAACTTGCCCTTTTTCAGAGCAGAACGGGGCAAAGTGGTATTGAAATCTGACTAGTGAGTGACTAACGGCTAGTGACTAATGTGAACAGTGACAGCGTGGGATGAAACAGGAAAAGTAGGGGCAACAATGCGCCAACAGCGAACTGATGAAGCAATCATTGATTGACACATGTTTGGCTCCCCTAGAATCTGAACTGGTATCGGTGACGCATCTGCGCTTTGTGTGAAAACTCGTAATGTATAATGACAAAGAGAGTTGCAGTTTTGAAAGTTCAATGTGAACTTTCCCAGGGTCTTAGAAGCCAAAAACCTTCAAACCTGTGTTTGTCTCAAAACCTTGCATGGCACATGTTTGGGGTTTATGCGTCGCGTAGGCGGGCGTAAATGCGAGCGATGTGCATGTACTTGAAACAAAGAGCATGTTTCCTGCTTTACAGTTTTCCTCTTGCGTATGTGATGTATGTCGTGTTTTATTTTAAATTACTCCTTTTCAAGAACCAGACAAAGTTGTTGAGCTAAGCTAAACAGCTCAGCTCAGCTAAACCATCTCAGCTCAGCTAAACAAAGTTTTTGAGCTCCTATGCCTATGCCCATGGCCTAGGGCCTATGGTTTTTGGCCTATGGCCTATGGCATTAATCGTTAATGAATCATTAATCAGGGGCACAGCCATTCAGAAACCCACGGCGTCCTTTGTGACGGCTGCTGTTCCGGGTGGTTACCATTACTATCTCAGAAGGAAGGAGGGCTGACTTTAAAAAACAGTTTAAGTCTAAGTGTAAACCTGGCTAAACCCATGTGCTGTGTGTGTGTGTAGCAGTGTCAGCGTAGTCCGTGATTGAACCATGGTGTCCAATGTTAAGGATTCCGTGTCTATTTGGCAGCTAACCGCCTTTAGTCAGTCACTTTAGTCAACAAAAGCATCATGGCTCTCTTGCCTTAGTGATCCAACCTGGAAGCTCTTAAAATTTTTAAATTAAACATATGAGTGTTTCGTTAGTTGGTTAATTTTTTTCCATTTGATTTCCACTTATCGTCTTTGAACTACAACTAAGAATTGTTGATTTGAAAATTCAGCTTTCTTATCCGATATCCTTGACTTTTTCCACCAGCCCTTGCAGATTTTCAATGTTAAATGATGTTTTTGAAAAATATGTTATTGTTAATTGGTATTCATTAGGCATTCTTTTCAGTTATTCTTTTATTTCAATTCATAATTCTTTTCTCTTTAACTCAAATATAAATAGTAAAACTATCTCTATATGTTTCTCTTATTTTAATTTATAATTTTCTTGACCCCAAGGATAAAGTAACATTAGTAAAATTATCTTTATGCCTTTTCTTATATTTCAATTTGTACTCAGTCTTTCATTGAAATATGCATTTTCCAATAAGATACAAATATATATAGTAATTTTCTCTTTTCATTTTTTCATTTTTAAATTTGTAGTTCTTTTTTCTTAAGTAAATTTAGTAATAGTTTAAATTTATGTAAATAATATAAATACATATCTTGAAAAGTTCTATCAAAATATGCAGGCTGGAGGCATGTCCACACCATAACAAAACCATATCGAAATTCATATCTTCTTCAGGAGATGGTTTCAGACCATAAGAAAACCATATTTTCCACCATATCGAAACCATAACAAAATCACAACAAAATCATATCGAAATCGCAAAAAAAACCTTTAAATAATTTTTCTGAGCCAAATGATAACACTTAAATATAATGGCTTCAGCTCACAAAGACCATCATGTCGCTCACATTTTGGACAATTTTGCTGCCACCACGTTGGCCAAATATTTCCAATCTACTGTCAGTTTTGTACAAGCTTGCCACTCGCTGCATATTGACCTGGATCATTTGACGCCTGTGCAACTTGCGGATGGACTCCTAGCTATGAGATTGGCTCGATCCTCAGACGGGATTTACCTGCACGGGTCCACAATCTTGAAAGCTATTCGATGGAGCGTTCGACATTTGGGAGCTGACTGTTTTCAATGCTCATTTGATGGCCTCCTGAGCAAATTTTTGACTGACAAAGAAGTTATGGACACAAAGGAGAGCCTGCCGCTTCCTTTATACAGTATCCTGCACTGGGAAAAGAAGATTCTGACTTCATCCACATCACCACTGCTTACAATTATTTTGGGTGCATTTTTATTTCAGATTTGGACTCCAGGCTTGCGTTGGTCTGATATGCAACGCATCACACCATCTCAGTTGGTGTTTGACTACAAGGACATCAGAGGAATCGCCTGGAGAACCAAGACCACAACCAAAGGTCAAGCCTTTGGATGTCTGGCTTCAGGTTTCATGTCACTGAGTTCACATACATGGATGCTGATCTTTTTTCGTGCTCTGGATGATGTTTTTGCCACTCATGGCAATTCACAATTAGACTTCATTATCCCTCGCATCACCATGAAAGGATCACTGGAACTGGTTTTACCTTTGGAACCCATGCGCTACACAGATGCGTTGTACTATTTGAGGACGTTCATTCACATCCCATGGCGGGCTGCTGGTTCGAGCCCTTTCAACCCAAGCAATTATACGATTCACGGCCTCAAGGCCACCTTCTTATCCTGGAGCGCTCAGATTCCTGCGATCTTTGAGGAACAACGGAGACAACAGGGCCACCACCGGTCCATCAACCAATCAGTCCGACTGTATTCACGGGATGATGTGTATCCCCAGCTACAACTGCAGCAGACACTGATTGACTCCATTGTCACTGACTTTCGACCAAAGACTCCAGTTCACCGTGGGGGTCAGACGCCTGCAATCGAACCTGCAATCCGATTGGAACGCTATCGCAAAGATGCAACAGATTTCAATTGGAAGTTCTTCTTTTTTCCTCGCTCACCTGAGGGAAAGCGTTCCAGCTCGTATGGAAGCAGTTCTTGAAACAATAGACCTAGAAGATGAATCGGCATCGGGGGATGCATCAGCAACCTCCGATTCTTCAACTCACTCGAGCTCTAGCTCACAGCAGGAAGATCAACCAGCTGCTTCTAAACCCAATCAGATGGATGGGTCCAATCATGTCTTGGCAAAGTTGCGCCAGACCATTCATGTGGTCGCTACCTGGAATGCTCCGCTCGAGCAACACGAATGGCCTGTGGCCGAAATTTCTGACCTCTTCGCTTAAGATGGTTCAGTTTGCTGACCTGGATGCTCATTCGGGATCTCTTTGCAACCATCCAGGTTGCCGACACATTTGGTCGCGCTTCTGACCTCAGCAATCAATGCTGATCCGGGTATGAAAACATCCAGCTTCCGCTTGCTATTCCAGTTGTTTTAGAACAAATTGCACTTGCTTCCAACATGAGACTCGTATATATAGATATATATATATATACACACATATACATATATATATATATATATCAAATTGGGATACGCCCCTAAAGTATCTTATATGTTCTCTACTTTCATCACTCACCCATGGCTGCTTCACCATGAATGTGGAGGGAACACACCGCTTGTGCTTGTTTCGCTTTCATCAGTTGCAGCAATTTGACATTCGTTTTGCATGTCCTATTGGCCCGGAGCTCAATTTAGTTGTTTGCGCATGTTCTTCACTCCATGTTGACTCATATTTCAACAACATGTCATTTGAGAGGACAGTGCATTATCACAGACTTTCAAGTTGTCGATTTTTTCCAACATTGCAACGATGCCCAACATTTTTTCCAGGAGTTTCAATAAACCATTTCGCCATCTCCTTCCATGCACGCTATGCTGGATGGCACGGGCCCGCCATCAATTGCCGAATCATCGCTGGAAACTCACCTCAGCTCAAATGGAGTCTCTCCTGGACTGATTTCAAGTTTGGTAGTCAATGGATGGACCATGGACTCTTTCGCTGCATGCACTGACTCTGCCGCTGGTTTTGATGAATTATGGGGTGAAATGTTTCCAGACCAATCTGAATTGGCTTTAGTTCAGAAGGCATCCATTAAAGCAGCTTGGAAGAAACTTCAACAGTGGCCAGCTACGTCGCAAGCCCCTGATCCTTCGCATCAGGCAGCAAGCTCAATGAATTCATGGAATGAAGTTCAAGCACCAAAACTCAGTGCACAGACATTAGCTGAATTGAAACGTGCCTTTTTCAGAGATTATCCATCAGAGGTTCTCAGTCCGGACACCTGTCCATCAGGACGATTGATCGCTATGGCCCATTCACAGGTGCAGAAAAAGGATATCGCTTGGATCCCTTGGAAATATCGATTGTCTCAACAACGCCTTGAAGAAATTCAGATGGCTCGGCCTAGCAAAGTCGCAAAAACAGAGCCGACCAGTTTGCATCAACTTTTATGGGACGATCCCCCTAGCATTGACGTATCCAATGCCAATATGGGTTTCAACGGTATCCGCACGATGCTCGAGCTGGTGGCCACAGCTTATGCACTGGTTCAGGGATGCCATTTAGGACGTGTCAAGGCCTACAACTTGAAGTTCTTAGGCCTGATTTCCACACGGCTCGACGCTGACCTGGGACTCTGTCATGTTAATGTTCTTGAAGCTCAGGCCGCTGACCGCATGTTATGGGGCATCATAGCTGACTTAACCACTGATAAAGGATGGAACCTTAACGATAGCTTGCATGAAGTCACAGTTTTGCGATCAGATATGATTGGGCTCCTCCAACCTCGACCCAAAGCCATCCAGAGGTATCACAATTCAGACATTCCCACGGCGTCCAATGCCAAAGGCAAGGGGCGCGGAAAATCCAAGTCCAAGAAGGGCTCCAGCAGTGCGAACCCAAAATGGGTTTCATCAATACAAATGCAAGGGACGTCTTTTTCCATTTGCATGAGATATCAATCTGGAAGTTGCACAAATTCCAATTGCCGATTCAAACACGTTTGTGCAGTGCCAAAATCAGATGGTACAGCATGTGGGGGCAATCATAGCGCGAAAGATCATCATTCCACTCCGCATTGACCTCCTCCGGAAGCCCTGCCAGTTTCACTTGGTTCCATGAAGGGATTTCACAAACACTGGATTCAACGAAGTCCAGATCTCAGTTGCATGATTCGGTGATTCCACCAGCAGTCGATGATGCCGTGACTCAAGTCAACCTTCGGACTCAATGGTTCCACCTCCAGTTCAACAGCAGCCTACCTCAATTCCACAATCTCCTTCCTCTCATGCGATGTCCCATTTTGGCCCAGCGTTTGCGATGCCAGGACGAATTTTCACTGATATTTTTTGCGGATTTGACAGTCCGTTGGCCTCAGCCATTTTGGCTGCTGGAGGCCAAGTGTTTCGAGTGGACATTTTGATTGACGCTTCAATGGACATATTTGACAATGATTTTTATGAGCAACTATTACGATTTTGCGCCTGTGGCAAATCAGCATACATTGCATGTTCACCCTGCTGTGGAGAATACTCTCGCTTGAAGCTGAAACCTGGTCCTGGACCCAAACCTCTCAGATCACCTGAACACTTGGGAGGACTCCTGGGTCTATCAATGAATGAAACGATTCGACTGCAAGACAGCTTTTTACAGCTTTCCCGAGGGGTCAACTGCTTACAAGCTGGTTACTGTTCTGGCTCCCATGGCCATTTGGAGCAACCGCCAAATGCGATGTCATGGGAGGAAGAAGTAGTTCAAGCCTTTTTGACTGAAGCATGCAAAGTTTGCATCAATCTCCCAGCTTGTCTATATGATCTGGATGTGCATAAAGCTTGGCTCTTCGCATCCACTTTGGAAGCCCTAGCATCCATGGGAGGCATTTGCAATCACCCTCAAGGATTCCATAAATCAATAGTCGGCACTCGCGATGAGCACGGCAATTTTCAGAGCAAACAGACTGCGCAGTATCCCAAAGTTCTCGCCGAAACATTTGCAAAAATAGTTGGACCACTGATCTCTGGACCCAGTGGTATACTGACGCTTCAGGATGCCATGCGCTGCCTCCCGCGTAAGCAATTATCAGAGCCTCCTCAAGCCTATCAAGATGGTGGTGGATTATTTTCGTTTCCAGATTGGTCTTATCCAAGAACAGATCAATCAGACCCCTTTACTTATTGCGGCAATCCTTTTTTCATATGATTTTGCAAAACAGCTATCACAAGAGACTGCTATGCCATTTTCACATGGGGGACCCAAACCCCCCATTTTCTGACAAAGAGTTGGAGCCATTTCAACAATGTTTGGTGCGTTGGATGCAAGAGCGCAATTTGCCAACCGACTGGACAATTAGAGAGCATCAGCCAATGCATTTGGGGATCTTGCAATCAATTTCTAAATTTCTGGATGATGAAGACAATAACCTTTTCGAATCGCTTATGGAAGGGGTTCCCACTGGATTCAGCGATGATATTCCATCATCCAACTGCTTTGCCAAGAAACAGGAGGATGACAATCTGGGTCGTCAACCACTTAGCATTCATATGGATAATTGGCGTTCTTCTTCCGATCGACCAGAACTTACAGATGAGCTTGTGCAATCGGAAGTGAATCAAGGATGGGTAGAACCATTCAATGGTTCAATTGAAGATGCTCAGACCCGTTGGCCGACTGGAGTCGCGATTGGCCGCTTGGGTATAACTATTTCAGACTCGCGGGATCCTCGTTTAGTTGTCGATAGCTCCATCTGCGGTACCAATTCTTCATGTTCTGTTCGCGAACATCAAGCCCTGCCGACATCCAAAGATGTATTGCGAACATTCCCTCTTAGGGATAATGACGAAGAGCTTGGCGGACTTTCTCTCGACATTAAAGCAGCTCACAAAAGAGTAGTCATCCGTGAATCTGAAAGAGGGCTACTCGGATTTTCTCATGCTGGCCGCCTCTATTTTTATCGTGTGGCCCCATTCGGAGCAATCTTCAGTGCACATTGGTGGGGAAGATTAGGTGGTTTCCTGGTCAGACTTTGGCATCTCCTGATTTACATCAAACATGCCCTTTGGCTTTACGTTGACGACTTCTTGTTTTCGCAAAAATGGCAGGTCCTTCCTTTATCATCGGCCTTCATTTGCATTTCTTTCAATTGATGAAAATTCCCATCAGCTGGAAGAAATCAGTGATTGCCAAAGAACTTCAATGGATAGGCTGGAGATTTAATTTTTCTGCTGGTCTTGTATCATTGGACCCTACTAAACGCAAGAGACTGATCAATCTTATTGATGCAATTTCTGGAAAAACCTACATCCACAAGCGCGACATTGAACGGTTTCTTGGACTAGCTATGTGGGTGACCCAACTATTTTCGGGTATGCGACCCATGCTTCAACATTTCTATGCTGACTTGTTTTCATCTCCTGCTTCATTATACAGCATTGATCTGGGAATGTGGCCCGGACTTTGGAACCACTTGGATGACAAACTGCAGTTCATATCAACTCCTCCAGGCACGGGGATCCCCAAACATGGTATTCTAGTCTCAGTTAGACATCAGCAAGTTTTCAATAAAGCAGACCTTGAACGTATCCGACTTTCTGAACGTCGAATGGCTTCGTATTCGAAATCCCAACTCTAGCAAGCGATCCCTGAGCAAAGCAAGTGTGCGATGTCTTCAACTATTACGTACCTGGATTTTGAATTTGTGCCCAACCCGTTCCATGTACCCTAAGCCAATCTGGCCGGGTTTCTCAGCTGCCGATGCATGTGCAACGGGCTCTACATTTCAGATTGGTGGCTTCATCGAACTAGAAAACTCGCGACTTTGGTTTTCTGAAAGGTTTACTGTTGCAGACATCACCGCATTGGGTTTGCCAATGCGCTTGGAAGCACAAAAAGATATTGCTTGCTATGAGACTCTGGCCCAAATTGCTCTACTGGACATATTTGCTTTCCAATATCCTCATCAACGGCTTCGAGTGATCTTACCCACAGTGAGTGACAACACTTCCGCTGAAGCTGGCGTCAATCAACTTTTCAGCACTAGCGAACCGCTTTGTTTCTTTTTGGAGAAAATTGGCCAACTTAGCAGTTCTTTAAATGTTGACATGGACACCTCTCACATTAGTGGAGTGGACAATGTCACCGCAGATCTTTTAAGCAGATGGGACTTTGAATCAATCCTCCCTACAGGTTTCACTCAATCCAATCGTGTCAAACTCACCCTGTCCGATTTGTGGATGACTAAATCATCCTGCGAGTAGTTCCACCGAATCTCCAACTCCTTTGGTCATTACCGACTTCACAGCCTTCCGGTGCTGATTTGATCCACGCTTCGTTTGGTCGATTTTATATGCGTTTCAAACCAACACCGTTTTATAGTTTCATTTGGTCGAATCGATCCATAAAACTCTTGTTGCTTTGTGGGATACTGAAATTGAATCCCAAAATTGAATGGATCAACAGCACCGGAAAAATGGAGTTTGCTTGAGTAGCCTTTGACTTGTGAGGGAAGTGCATTAAGTAGAACTTTTCATGTACTTGTCCATGGATGTTTTAATTAATCAACCCCGCAACGCTGGTTCAAGCACTTCACTCACAGCTTCAATAGTTTTGGGAATCAAATTTTTCCCTCCCACCCTCAACCTTAAATTATCATTCGTTTTGGGGTATGTATGCTTCTTTTTTCCCATTGACCATCACTTCCAACTTTGACGAAACTCAACGAAGTTGATGCAGTTTTATTTCAAACAAACCCTTGAGTATATTCATGCATTCACAGGCATGTACATATACGTCTTTGAACAACCTGTTTGACACACTTGATATGTATATACATATATATATACATGTGTTTCCATGAAACGGTGACACCAACAGTTGGAGTTGTTGGCATCATTGGGACATGACAAATTTTCATTTGACATCAGTTTCAATGCTCAAGTGAGCAGCGCATGTGCGCACAATTTTGTTCGTCGCTGATCTCGCATGGCACCTCGTTGCTGATCTCTGCACTTTGACCTTGAGTTGGTTCTGTCTCCGTGAGCAAACATTGACACCATGTTCGCCCCAGACGTGAATTTCTTCACGGACATCCCGGAGACTTCAAAGAGAATTCCGTGCTGGTTCTCATCGCAAGATGATCAGGCGACTATCAACCAGGTGCTCCCCTTTTTGGGGTTGAACACAGACTGCAGTCTGAATGACTTCTGTCTGTTGACGGCCACTTCGGTCCAGCAGCCAACTCCTGGCGTTGCTGACATGGGGCGCCGCTGGATTCCATTTGACGAAGATTTACATGAAGATCGGCGATACCACCTGGCCTTTTTCCAATGGAACCTTTACCAACAGGTCTTCAATTACATCGGTGATGATGCGATCGATACCATCCCCGAGCAGACGGCCGAGGACTTTCGCAAGCAAACTTTCATCACCATCTCCTTCGTCCCCATTCCGGAGTTGGTCTACCAAATTGGGGTTTTGTCCCAAGATCGGGACAACCTTGAACGCGAGCTCGGAGAGCTCCGCGACGAGATCCGACAGATGCGACATTACCTTGGGCTCATTATGGAATTTCTGGCTGCTCGAGAGCCGCAATTAGCTGCCCCTTTCGATCTGATCCTGCAGCCTGGTGATGCTCCGTAACTACGCCTTTGCTGGTGTCTATGTCATGGCCTTTGACAACATTTTGGCAACGCATGCGAAGTCATGCTCGAATGCCTTGCTAGCATCGACAAAACACAGCATTCCAGGGTTCTGGGGTTGTGGCAGTCATGCTGTTTTTCCATGCAGTTCTTCATCAGATTGGCAACACTACACATGTGGCATCACATTGCACACATATGAACTGCATGTGCAGCGTTTTTCCAAACCGGTTAGTATCGGCCGCTCGTGTGAGCTCAGGGCTCCATCCTCAGAATTCTGATGGTTGCCCTTATTATTTGTTTCTATATTCGGGTAATTTGCCTTTTCACACTCCTTGACAGGTGTCGGAGTTTCTTGGGTCGTGTGGCCCCGCTCTCAGATCATTAGAATCCAAGTTGATGACGAGTGTCTTCACATGTGCTCTCTCTTGTCATGTGACAGAGTTTTCTAGCACTGAGCATACCGTTCTCCCAGGCCATCTTGTTTGCCGTGTGGCACTCAATTTTGGCGAAAACCCTTTTGTGGTTTTTGTGTCAGATCGGAGTGTCAGATGTTTGACATATTTTCGTCAGGTTGTGACTCTTCATTGCTGCCGTGTGGCGCCGAACTAAGCTCTCGTGTGTGAGCTGAACTGACCATGAGAAATGATTCAATAACACTCAGTCAAAGTGTTGAAATCAAGACATCGATCGTCTGCAGGTGCAGACGCGAAACTTTGATTGCCGTGTGGCACCCAATTTATTCTTTTGTGGTAAGTGCCATTTGTGGCTGGCTTTCTCCACGGCCATGATGACTAGAACGACGCGCCCAGGCCTGACCGTTTTCGAAGGGCTGCTGACAGGGTCCATTATCTGGGCTGCGCGGGACCAGGCGCCCAGTGGCCTTTTTCCTGTGTTACTACCACGTGGTAGAAATCAAAATTCTCCTTTGTTGGCATAAGTCTCCCTTTTTGATTTCTCGCAGGAGAGGAATGGGCGACCCGTCAAGGCCTCATATCCTTCAGTTTCCAAATCCCTTTCGACCGATTGCTTGTAGTGGAGAACTTTGGGTCTTCAACATTTGATGTCGGACCCTCAAGGCTCGTGGGACTCGACCTGAACGGGCAACGTGGTATTTCTT